GTTAGACCTTCTTGTTTCGTTTTCTTTGCTTTGCTGTCTGTCGGAAGTGATGTCATGCTGGACAAGAATCAGAGTCCGAATAACATTTTTTCATATTCGGACTCGAGTCCGAATAGTCACTTCGATCTAGAATATAGATCTATATCTAGTCTAGATCTACTTAAAACACAAGTTAAGTTACAAGACACGCTTTCAGTCATGGTGAATACAAAGGTGTGTGTTTTGAAACAAATTTTCACTGAATGATGCGCTATTTAAGCTGTATCTACTTATCCACCAATTGACTTACCTTTCAGGGTCTCTAGGAAAACGAAAGAAAGCTAAGTATGTTTTTTAATTAATGCAGTTTATTGCGGCACACCACTAACAGTGCGTGTTCTTTTGGATCAGCCATGTTTGTTGGAGTTTACCGCCTCTATTCTTGCTGTCACGGGATTGGCCAGATTCGCGGTCTGGTCCAAGCTGTACTGTCTCGTTAACATTGCTAGGTCTCTGGTAATGGCCTTCAGACACCGGGTCAACGACGTCTCCTAGTACTCACATAAAGTCAAATATTAGGCGACAGAGCTGCTAGAATGTTAAAATATAATAAGTCTCCATTATGAAACGACAGGCAACAAAGTTTGAACCCACACCTCCCAGTAACCAGGCTTATATACTCAACCATTAGGGTTAATTAATTTACTGACAATGGGCCAGTCAAAGCACTGAACTTGTTATTCTAAAGCATTTTGCTTTAACCAGTCAGCTTACGCTAAGATATTAGATCAAGTTTAAATCCTAGATTTAGGCCTATAACTGGCCATCGTTCATGTAGATCTATACTTGTTAGGCCAATGACAGCGAACAGTAGCTTACAGCTGCGCCACACCGGTTACATGACGTCTCATGTCACGGCTCTTCGCGGAAGTGTCATGCTCGAACCGGCTTAGTGCAGAGAACCGTCCACCTGCATTGTGCTACACATTTTTTGCCATCCCATAACCGGCTACGTGCAAAATAAAACTATCGGTTGTGGTATTTAAAGAAAAATCAAGCAGTATTTGGTCCCAACACTTATAACTTAACCCTTTGTACAGAAATAAGTAAGATTACGCAACGCGTTTTAGAAATAATCAGGTTTTTTTGTCCTTCCTGTAAAATTGGTCTTTCTACATGTAGCCGGTTTGTGAATAACACGGAGGATATGTTTATCTTTACGTTCTGTTGGCCTCTTCCAGTGTTTGTTGTGTTCTCTAACGCCCATTCTCCCTGCTCACATAGTTGTTAGATCTAGATTCTATTATATCATAATTTTATCATGTACCCTACGTCCACTATTCCTGTGGAAAGTATCCCAAACAGCCAGCAATAGCATCAGTCTACAAGGTTGGGGAGCTTAATGTGTTGGTAAATGAGTGACATGTTCATATTTGTAATCACTTTGTCAGTGGTTCTGCCGGTCTGCTTTTCTGACTTTATGTATGTATGTACCTAAGTATCTCTCTCTTTCTCTCTCTCTCTCTCTCTCTCTCTCTCTCTCTCTCTCTCTCTCTCTCTCTTGGCTTTTATGTACAGGCTCCATTCAGTAACATCACACCAACGCAGACCCCTATTCACATAAACACACTAACGCAGAAAATGCTATGGACGCCACAACCAACATAAAAAAACTTCACACCCAACAAAACATCCAGCTTTTGTATGTTATTTTAAATGTTTCTCACGAGTTCATAGACAGAAACGGGCGGTACAAGCCAAAAACATTACGCAGAAAGACAGATCGAAACACAAGAGACTTTTAAATGTGCTCTGAAGTCAACAAGATCAATATTTTACATTCAAAACCGGTTCAGTTTTTAACTTGCAAAACCGTAAAACCTCCTCAAAATTTGCACTGGTGCACCTTCCTTATCATTGCACGTTTGATACTGTGATTATTAAGGGGTGCCGTATCTTGTGAGTGTATGCAAAGCGAATTAGCAAAGGTTGTTCAAAGAGCACTTCTATTTGAAAACATCGTTTCATTTGTACACACTACACTACGTACACTAACGCAGTACAATTGCAAGTTTGTAACAAATACTATCTACAAGGTAACCTACGAGTATTTTGACCACGGCACTTTGTATAATAATATAGACATACTGCTCCAGACATGAGACATATTTTCTTTTCTCTCTACTTTTCAATAATCCGTTCATTTGGAGAAACGAAGCACATATATTTTTTCGAAGATTATTATTAGGATGATGCCTGTATTATTTCCTATTTAGAGAGTAATTTTTACAAGGAATTTTGTGCTTGTAAAGAGCACGCGAAGAGTATAGAAAGCCTGGAAAACAAGTTGTTGATCTTATGAACTCCTAGACTAAGAACCTTGTCACAGCCAGAACGGTAAGATGGCACACAAAGATCCATGTTTCAGTTGACCAAGTAGCCGGAGAACGTCAACGTGACCTCGTTGTCTTCTGTCAAGTTGGTGGTGGTGACGTCAGCCCATACCTTCTGGCCTGGCTCTAGCGGGGTCATGAGGTCAATGTAAGCTTGTTGGTCGTCCCGCGCAGTGGCGATTACCTGGTCGTCCACCACCAGGCAAGCTTCAAGCGGAAACTCTTTAGCCTAGGCAGAACAAGAGAATAGTTTGTTTCAGTAAGAGTTTCACAGCACTTGCAAGCAATTACGTCATAGAAGAGCCCGAGATTAGAGTTTTTTTTCAACAGAGTAACAAGCACAAACAAGACGTAGGACAGACAAGAACGAAAGATATTTGATAGGAAAGAAGGAGCAAACCACACCAGAGCACACACCAACCACCCATGAGAACGATTTAGGATATATTTTGCTTTCGTGCCTCTTGTTGAGCTTATGAGCTAACGAAATCAATCCTATTCGTTTCGGTAAATGCACTACTTTTATACATAGATTGTGTCTTTCATCATGAAGATTAGTTTAGCAGGGCATATCCTTCTCGCCTTTCCACCTGGCCGTTGGTATGGTGTCTATTCTGTCTAAATGAAAATGTAATAATTATAATATTCATTTCTGTTTATTCCCTCCACATTTTCAAGTCATTCCAGTGCTTCTCCAACATCTCTCAATTCACAAACACAATAGTACACGAAGGTTTCGTTTTAAAAGTTTAACCTCATATCAACTCCAAATCCCAAAGAGAGTCTGAACTTTGAGAGAGACATGATCTGTTCATTTCACCCACCTCCTATTCCACCACATTCACGTGAAAACGAATTGGTAAAGAACGCTATTGTCAGAGAACTCAAAATTGTAAAAGACCCTGACACACCACCTTGTTAACTGGGTACTGTACTTGCACATTACATAATACCTTCGAAAATTGACATTGGGTGTCCAAGTCTTCAGCAGATGTAGACCAAAGGGGGAATAAGTGTACATTTTCCGTCAGATTGAATCGACGGGCACTCTGCTAGTTAGTTGACTGACCGGATTTCCCTGATTCAATCCCCCCGATTTGGCGTTTTAGAATTGGGGTGGTTTTGTGCACTTTTTTAATGTTTTCAACCCATCCGGCTCGGTCTAGTCGAGGATGGACGTTAATGTCAGAGGTCCCTTTTAATATAAGAGTACTGAAAGTGGCGTTAGACCTTCTTGTTTCGTTTTCTTTGCTTTGCTGTCTTAGCCACAGAGGTTATTCTGGGTAACAGAATATTCGAGATCTCCTTGCCAAGAGTCTAATTATGAGATAATATTCCCGAAAAAAAATAATAAAAAAAATACAGAGCTCATAACCTTGACCTTTGTAGCTTACTTCTTAACTGTGGCGGGTATGAAGGGGAATGTAGAGTAAAAACATCGTAGTGAACAGTGCTATACGATATAAAAAGGAACAGGCGGTACCATTTAATACATCCATGATATAGAGGTTTGCAAGTGGAGACATTTTAGAATCAACGTCACCGACATTGCACTTCTGTGCCTTGTCAGCCGAGGTGACAACGTGTCATGCTTTTAAGACAAATGTGAGGCAGCGTGGTGGAATCAGGCTCTCGTCAATTTTTGGGTATGTAGAGTTATTGGTATCATCTTAAATCTTGTTCACTTGTCTTTATTTGGATGAAAATAACTATCCATTTATCTTGAATACAAGTCGAGATATTTGCGAATGAAGGAGGTGGGGGTCACCTGTTTTCAGAAGTAAAATTAATTAGAAAATGGCAACCAAAGATTTGTTATTTCCTTAGCTTAAGAGTCCGTGGTAACTGAAAATTTACAGTTTTTGTGCCTTAAATCAACGTTTATCAGAAAAATCCACACAGAAATGAGTTTTTTTTATAGGGTATGAAAGGTGTTGAGCCAAAAAACAAAATTTTTTATAAAAATACACAAACCTACTGAAAAATGCAAGTTTCTTTCCTTTTGATTATTTTGACGAGAAGCTGATTCCCCCACGCTGCCTCACAAATGGTGTCCTAGCGGGTTTTGAAGTAATAGTTATCTTTTGTTAAAATTCTAAAACAATTTTCAAACAGGATTACCTTGAGAAAGCTTAAGGAAAAGTGGTAGATGCCTTGGTATAGAGCTTTGAACTCTCCAGTGTTTGGGAAAAAGTTAAACCCTTTGTTGACCGTGGTCTGGTAGCCCTGGAGTCTCTGATGGGTGACATTGCTAGGGAGAACATATTCCTGGCGGGCAAAGAACACTGTCTTACGCTGTAGTTTTTCTGTGGAAATGGAGGAGGGTTTTATTCTGGTTTCTAAGACTTTTACAGCACTTGAAACACACATATTATGTCGTAAAGGTGCCAAAAATTTGAGGTGTTGCTAGAGAGTAACCTTTAAGAAAAAGGAAGAGAGACAGTGGCGGTGGGTGGACCAAGATTTGGGTGGGGCTTAGGGTTCTTCCACTTCTTTACCACCAAAAAAGCAAGCAATAAGAACAAAACAGTGATGATTTTTTTATACTCACGCGAGCCACGGCATTTTGAGAACAATTCAAACGAAAATAGTCACCTTTGTTTTCCATCTCTTTGTTCTGCGTTAAATTCTTCAGGATGGTGGGGACGAAGCCGGTTGACTTCCAAATGTCTCTAATTAGTTTTTGTCTAATGAAAAAGTTGCCTCAAAAGTGGTTTGATGTAATTAATAACTGTTAAATCTTAGCGGCACAAACACACAGCACTCCGAACACATACCGTCTATGAGGTGAATTGGGTCGGGTTGTTGCGGAAAATAGAACGTGTCTAACAAAAGCCCAATGGACGCATAGGTAACTGTGTCACTTGGGGAAAGTGTGTCGTAAACTTTCACCCCATTGTCAGGGCTGGGACTGCGTGAGCCCTTTGTGCAGTTTTATTTTTTTCAAGTCTTCTCCCTTTTTACAAGAAGAGTTTCATTAAAGACGGGCGTGGGAACCGGCTTATTCTTTCTGAGCCCTAACGCCATTTGATTGGCTGTTAGGTTACTATAGTTGTAAGCGGTGACTACAATGATTGGATAAACGGGCCCAAGCTGATCACTGTGTGTTCATTGCGTGCGATCATAACGGTTTCAACTGTTTATTTCGTTATTTAAGAAACTTTCATTAACTAAAGGATAAAATTGGGGTGGGGAGGGGGTGAGGTTGGGGGGCTCAAGCCCGTAAGCCTTTCACTACCCACCGCCACTGAAGAGAGATAGGAACAATAACATATATTGGACAGGGAAAGGGCAAAACCTCGCCAGAGCACCTGCAAACAACCCACAGAAGGAAGTAGAAGGCAAAAAAATTAAAGATACAAAATTAATGCAAGTCAAGGGTCTGACGCTTCTGTCAGTTTATTTTCAAAAAGCCTGGCCGAACCTCCGAGGGTACAAACCGAGGACTGAGCCGTATTGGCGGACAGCCTTGCAAACTTACACAAGCAGCCCAAATTCAAGTACAATGTACGTTCCTTTTGATGTGGGATTCAATGGGACACCACCGCACCATAGTTCCGCATCACGCCAACTGAGTCAACGGTCCTCCAAAATCAAAAGGAAAAGAGAACGTTGGTAGTTGATACTTTACGGCGCCTGGTCTTTCAGGGGATTTAAATTAAAGCATTTCGGTTGACATACCCTTTTAAAAGAATTTTGAGGCATGATTAACTTGTGCTGAATGTTAAACGTACGCATAAACATATTACCGACTACATTATTGTCGACCTTGCATGATCTGGTGTTGTAAATGATTTTGGGTTATTTATTTGGGAAGATTACGAAACCGTAAAAGCGAAAGTCTGGTATACAGGCACCAAAAGAAACAAGAAAGAAGCAGCATCATTAAAAATAAATGACTAATTATAAGGCCAACTACACCAAAGAAAGAACCCCCCCCCCCCCTAAGAACCTGGAAAAAAACAAAACAAAACAAAAATGATAACAACAATAATAGTAAGAAAAAAACATCAAGTTTCACAACATAACCAAAGATAATACATAAAAATACTAACCTAATTCTTCCTTGAGCTGAGTCAAGGTGATCGAGTTGTCTGTGGTGGACTTGCTAGTGCTAGAGTCGTCGCTGCTGTCTTCCTCATCCTCCTGCTCTTCAGCCGATGGTTTTCTCTTTTTCTTTGTCTCTGTCTGGTCAGCTCTGACCCAGTCAACGTAATCGGGACATGACCTAGTTTTGGCAAGCCTCCCCTCGAGACTGGATATTTTGTCACAGATCTGAGTGACTACTGATCTTCCACTCGTGACGTCATAGCATGGGGTAGAAACAGGCTCTGTAACAATTGACCCAATAGTCGTGGATACATTATTATAATAAAGAACAATGCAGTGTATTTGTCACGTATTTGTTGTTGTATAATAATATGTACATTGTGAACCTTCACGAATTCAGGCTGAAAGTTCTTCGTATTTGTTCGATAACTTCCGTAACCATTTACTCCAAATGGATCAACTAGTTGTACTTTACTGCAGTTTTGATTATTGAAAGAGTTGTTTAAATGTGAAATTTGGTTTAGATCTAGTCTTACTATAGAATTTACCATCCACTTTAGTCAGACAATTTTCTTACGATAATTTTCTTTTCTTCTTTCTGTATGGTGAAAGAATCGAAAAGCTCTAGATTACAGAAACCAGTTAGTTAAGAGCACAGTCGCACCTCTATAACCATACACGCTAATATTCAAAATGACATGGGTTATGAAAGAGGGGGGGGGGAGTGAGGATGGATGTGTGAAGATTATATGGCATGTAAATTTCTATTCTTGCCAACATTCCAGCACGTGATGTATCCTTTTATCCTGCCAAATTAAGGTCTTTCACATCACGCCCAATCTTCAACTTCTAACGTACGTAATTTCTTAGGGGGATTCAAAGACAACACATTCTTCCTGGAGTAGGTCTTTTTTGTTCAGTGAGAGAAGGCTAGGAGATAGGAAATTAGGGGAATGGGAAAAGGGGGGCTCCAATTTTGTGTGTGAAAGTTTTTTTCCAGGAAATAGTGACGTAATCTTATTCCTTGTGCAGGGATATTTTTATTGGGGGGAGGGGGGGAATAGATTTAGTGTTTAGAGCTGTGTTTTATGGTAAGCAATCTATACATAATCTGGGTCAAATAATGCATTGGTCCTGATTATATTTAAAGCTTTGTATGGCAATAACTCACCGGCATCACGAGAGTGTTGCGGCTGCTGCTGCTGCCTGAGAACACTGTCCAATTTTCCCATCATTTCCTTAATTGATTCGGCCGCCATATCGTCATCATCTTTTTCACCCAATCCCTTTGCTCCCACATCGCCGATTTGTGCAGTCAGTATTATTAAACCGAAGAAAACACACTGGAAAACAGCCATTTGTTTGAAATGATGAGCCGAACGTACAGTTTGGTTTAAACAATGAGAAAATCTGGAATAAAAGCTTGTGTATAGCACAGGAAAAATATCACTAACAGCACACTGCTAAAAAATTCTAGAATGGTTCTTGAGCAAACTAGAAAGTAGTCCACATCTGTGTGCATTGCGCTGAGGTTGGAAAAGACAAAAGCGGTGACATTAAGCAGGAACACAACTGAGAAGAATGTACCGTAAAGTTGTTTATCTTCCCTAATGTTTTTCTTTATAAATGAGTACAAAATAATTGGCTACTATTTACCCCCGATTCTGTTATTTTCTAGAAAACCTGCACGCTTCTTTGCAGGCGACCCTCTGTGATTTTCTTGGTTTATACTGTTCAAAGAAATATTATTCATATTTTGAGTTGTCATGAACTCGTGCATTTCTCGACTGTCGAGTACTGGACAAAAAAGCTCACTTTTACAGTACTCGACTGTGGGCAGTGACGACGTTCATGGGACCTAGATGTTTTCTCTTAGGCTCCAGAGATAAGCCAATCGCAAAGCGGTATCGCATGACGTGAGTCTGCACTCTGCCGCCTTTTTCTCCCCCGGGAAACATGATCCAATGACGTCACTGTGTGTCGTTCTGCTTGGTATCTCGGCCCTGTGTATTCGTACTCTGAAGCGCATTCATCTGCGTTGCTTTCTTTTTTCTTCCAGCGCTTTGAGATTTATCATGTTTGAGAGTAGAAGTTCCTGCAGTCTTTGTGCATTGTGATACACACCATGTTTGATGAGACAGACAGACATCACTGTGACAGATCCAGCAATAGTATAATATGTGAGGCAGCGTGGTGAAATCGGGCGCTCGTCAAAATTATGAAATCCGAGAAATCGGCTTTTTTATAAAAAAAAACCAGATTGCGCATTTTTGCGAATTTTTGTTTTTTGTTTTGGGCTGAACACCTTGTGTGTCCATTCAAGAACAATTTTGTGTGTTGAATTTATGAATAAACGTTGATTAAAGGCACAGAAATCGTAAATGTGCAGTCTCCAAAGACTTTTAAGCTATGGAAGTCACCAAACTTTGGCAGCCATTTTCTCACTAATTTTAATTCTGAAACCAGGTGTCCCCACCTTCTTCAATCGCAAATAACCCGACTTCTGTTTAAGATATATTTGTATTATTTTCATTGGAAAGCTAGGCAAATTAATAACCTTTAATATGATATCCATAACTCCATATACTCAAAGATTGACGGGCGCCTGATTCCACTTCGTCGTAACACATACTCGTATATACCATGCTGGTGGAGTGCCAGAGTTATGAACCTTGTGAAACACAAGGACATTCAGCATGTAAATCTAACCGCGTTCTTCAATCTTCCACTCTGTCCTGACAGGGAATTTTTTGTCTTCTGGAGTACTGACGTCTTAGAAAACTAAACACAGACGTTGTGTCCCTGAGGGTTGAAATGATTTCACACCCCAACCCCACCACCCTCCGCCACAAAAATCGTCAGAATAAGTTGAATATTACTGAATACCCAAATACTATGCCAATGGTAGTCATCATTCAGCTTGTGTTCTTCGACGGATTTTTTGTTGGGTTTAATTTGGTGGTTTTTGTTTTTGATTTTTAGTTTGGTTTAATTACTTAAGGTGTAAGGGTTCTGGGGTGTAAAGCAATGCTTACTCCCAGCAGGAACAATCTAGATCGTAGTTAATACGTGGGGTTTTGAAAAGCCAAAAATAAGTTGTTAAGATCAGAATCTCGTTAAGGAGTATTAAAAAGGTCGGGTCACAAATTGAGTAAACCAATCAAAGCAATTTCTAATAATATCTTCTAAAATTGGTCGCTTTCAATCTCAACTCGGTTATCCCGAAAAATGCTGTTTTGAGAAAATTGAAGGTAACGTTTTTGCCCCTCCTTCAGTTTCTTTAAAAAACTAGGAAAGTTTTCTCTATAACCAAACAAATATACACACCAATGAAATCAAACTTCTCCTACAGGTAGGGCAAAGCCATCTTTTGGTGTAAGTCAAGATTTCTGGAAACACCCGAAATCTGGGTTAGCCCGCTTGTCCTAAAAAACGACCAATTTAAAAAAGATCCTTATTTCATTAAGGGAAACAACCATCTATATGAAAACAATCTTCCTGAGAGGATTGTTCCCCTTACTTTCATATGTATGACAGCTGCTGGGCATGTTATTTTGTAAAAACTTGTTGTACATTGACTGTATGGTCTTGTGTCCCTTGCCAGAGAATGCTGCCGCAGCATAGTCTATTCATTTTATCTTGGAACACCGTTTCAGCGCTCGCGTGCGCGTAGGAGAGAGAGAGAGAGAGAGAGAGAGAGAGAGAGAGAGAGAGAGAGAGAGAGACAGACAGACAGACAGACAGACAGACAGACAGATAGACAAACAGACAGACAGACAGACAGACAGACAGACAGAGAGAGAGAGAGAGAGAGAGAGAGAGAGAGAGAGAGAGAAGGCAAAAGAGAGAAGGCAGAAGAGAGCTGGAGAGGGAGAGTAGATAGATTTTTTATAGCTTTTTGACCATATTCCATTTGTTCGTGAACTTTCAGGATCCACGATTAGATTTGTCTATTGTCATTAATGTATGTATTAAAATTGATTTCACGAATTTCTTTTAAAAAATCGGGGAATCAACGAGTTCAAGTAGCGGATTAAAAACTGAGCTCTCAGCACACAGTAAACAACCTATAAATCTAAATCTCCAGATAGTAGCAGATATCAGAATAGCACTATTGACAAAGACAACAGAATCCTTAATAGTGATTTTAGTCAGGAAAGAAGAGTTTAATTGTTTGAATGTCTTTCTACTTGAAATTGATTTCATTAGTGCTGATTAGGTGATGAGACGACGATGAAGGGGTGGATGACGAAGATGGTTTGAGTTTTTAGATTTGAAGACAATAGCATCTATCTATCTATCTATCTATCTATCTATCTATCTATCTATCTATCTATCTATCTATATATCTATCTATCTATATATCTATCTATCTATCAATCTATATACGTCTAAATGTCTGTTTCTATCTGTCTGTCTGTCTGTCTGCTTGGCTGCCCGTCTGTCTATCTGCCTGCCCATTTGTCTGTCTGTCTGTCCAATCCTGAAAGCAGTTGAACAGCAACAACAACAAGAACTGATAAAAGCGGTTCGCTACCCCTCAAGTACATTGAAGACTCCTAATTGTTACGACATGCATGAAATCTAAGTTTGCTTTCGTCCATTCCTTGGAGTCAACGATGTGTAACAAGCACTCTCAGTCAGCGATCAATGCGATCAATACGAGCGTTACAAGCGTTTTCTCCACATACTCTCTCCCCTCGCTCTCGATGTTTCCCTGTTCGACTGGCTGTCTTCAGCACATTTTCTGACCTATGGGTTACTCAACTCAGCTGTCACGCCCCCATCCTTTATAATTCAGTTGATCATGTACATTTTTAGTTAAATTACTTTGAGTAAAGAGAAAAAAATGATCGACACGACAACGAGGAGAATAAGGACAAACAGACAGACACAACGTGAAGGGCAGTAGGACCTACTCTAAGGTATCGAATAAGCGCCCCCCCCCCCCAGCTGATTAATTTTCAATTTTTTGCCCCCCCCCCCTCTCCTTATTCCATACCCCCCGTTTATTATTTTCCAGATTGCCACAACCGACGATCAAGTGACACATTACATCTATATTTTTTAATGAAACTAGTTTGTTCCTAAATGTGAAAAATTGTAACAATAACTTTCTAAAACCACTAAAATGTCATGATCTCTTGTTCTTAAATTTAAGGAAGGAGAAATAAAACTGATTTGCTTCTACTAGTAAAGGGGTATGAGGTTGAATGTGCCACCCCCCACCTCCTTTTATTCCATCCCCACCCCCTCCGTTTAATACTTTTGGACTACTTGTACACCACCTCATTTCGTCCAACCCCCCCCCCCCCCCAACCCCCTTTAAAAAAATAATTCAATACCAAATAGTATCCTAGGCCCCCGACAACAACCCACCCGTCGACATTGACAATACGGTAGACAGAAAAGGTCGATTTGAAACAGGTCTATTGTTCTTTAAGACATTCTGATCTAAGTTTTGTTTCTTTAGCAAAAGTTTTACAAAAGCAATTTTCAATGAATCTGGTACTGGTCCACACACTAGAGAATTATTTATGATTTTAGTAATAAATGGGATCAGTTCGCCACTGCAGGAAGACAACGGAGAACTAGGGACAGGGTTAAGATCACAATGTTTGCTAGGGGATTGCAGAATTACTGATTTAATGTATTCTTCAGAAACAGGTCTAGATTTATCAAGAATCACTCTATAATATACATCAAAATCACCACGTTTCATAGTTATCAAGGTTGTTTCTTAGTTTCTGGACTTTGTCTGTAAAATAATCAGCAAACTTTTCGGGTAGTTCTAGATCGCTAAAAGAATTCGGGAGACGTGTCTCTTTGATCCGTCTTAATAGTTCGTCACAAATGCCGAATAATTGTTTACACCATTTTGAATTTTCCAATTTAGAAACCCAATTTTTTTTTTGCCCATTTTGTTACAAATTTTAGCTCTTGCATCTTTAATCTACAAATGTGCTTGTCTCTCTGCCTTCCTGCATATTATATTACATTATATCATATCATATTCATATCATATCATATCATATCATATCATATCATATCATATCATATCATATCATACCATTTCGTATCATATCGAAATGTACTGTATTGTATTGTATTGTTGTGGGTGTATCGGTGTATATGTGTGCGCGCGGGCATGTATTTATTTCGTTTCGAGTTGGATAGGCAGGCTTGGGAGTGTGCTTGAATGTTTTCGTTAGGAACGGATGATTGATGCAGAACGGTAGTTTACAATTAGATACAAACTTGTTTCTAAAGACACTTATGGGAACGTTTACGAGTGTGTGTGTGTGTGTGTGTGTGTGTGTGTGTGTGTGTATGTGCGTGTGTGTTTGTTTGTGTACGTGTATGTATTGCAGCTATTAGAATAATAGAATAATGTTGTTTTCATTGCGGAAAAGGAAGATAGGTGTAGAACTATAGCCTACTATATCACTACTAACTTGTTACTACGAACACTTGTGAGAACGTATGATGTGTATGCGTGCGCGATTGTACGTCTCTGTGTGTGCTTGTAGTGTTTGT